GAGGGCAAAGAGAGGAGAGAAAAAAGAAAAGCTAGGTTTATGAGGTCGTAGATTTATTTTTGCTACTTTGTCCTACTGGAAAAAGTTATTAGTCTCAAGGTAGACTACCATTACCCTACCTATAATTTTAATTATTTTGTGTAATTTTTATTTTATAAATTTTTATTTGTTTAGAATGTACAGAAGTTGTGATATCATATTTTTTAATAAACTTTCCCACATAACTTTTAGTATGTGGTAGATGTCGTCAATAAGAGTATTTTGACTAGAACATATTAAATTTTCACATAGCATTTTTATATTTTAGGAGAAATATCCCAATTTAGATAAATATAAAATTAAAAAATAATCAATAAAATCATTTTATAAGTGTATATGGCATGCATACTTATTATAATATAGCTATTATGGTTACACACATATAAAAAGAGTACATTACCATTGATTGTTTATTGACCTATAAAATCATTTGATTAGAACATATTACAGTTGTAGTGTTGTTTATTGATCATATGACCAATTATTATTTCATTTATTGTTACATACTTTTAAAATTTTATGTTCATGCTAATAGTGATTTAATAATTGCATCCATACCATTTATCTTGCATTGCTTTAATTTTAATTGTTAGTTATGATAGCCTTTTGAGATGTTAGCTCACTATGTGATTTTATATATTTTTAGGAAGGGCTTAGGATCCAACAGAGTGAGGATAGTTCAGGAATTTATGTTTTATTTTATTTCTACATTTTTTAATTTTATTCTTTTCAATTTAGGAGCTTAGAGAGTTAAAATAAATGTAATAATTAATCTTCTAGCTTTTGTACATGAATGTTGAGAGATGAATATAGTTTTATATTTAATATATAAGATTTTTATTTTTATTTTTCCTGCTAGATTGATTTATACTGCAGAATTCATATAAGCACTTTTAATGTATATGATTTTTATTTTTTTTCTGCTAGATTGATCTATTTAATAATAGTACATGTTGCAAATAAAATCATGATAATGGGGATAACATTGGCATGCTTGCTACCTCCTTTAAGTGTACTGTCGATATGAAGGCCACTGGCTATGGCATTAAAGCTAATTATGATAGAAAGTTCAATGGAAACAATTATGACAAAGTTCTCCGGTTTGTATTTGAACTTGGCAGGCAATTACCAAAAAAAGAGAGATTTTTCAACCCAGCCACATCCAATCTTGGCCTTGCTAAAGATGAGTGATGAAGATATTGTTGGAGATGGAAGTACTCCAATTTCAGAAGCTTTTTACTAACTTAAAAGGCCGTCGCTAATTGACAGAAGCTTTTTACTAACTTGTTTTTGGTAATTTACCAGCTAGTTTTTGGAGCCGTTAGCTTTGATGAACTTTACACATTGCTTGGCTAAAGTGGAATGGTTTTATGATGGTTCGTTATCCTATTGCTTTCATAGATATATAATACCCTATTTCCATTTAAAATGAATTAATAAACTTATATTTGGGGTTTACAATGTATATTTTACAATACTTTCTATGAAGATCTTTTTAAGCTTTTAATTATTTGTTATTATTTTAGTCACCAACAGCATCATTAGAAGATTTTAGAAGAACATTTTCATGAAACTTTTTAAGCATTTGCTAAAGTGGTGGACAATCTTACAATTATGATGTGGGTGCAGCCCTTCCCCTATAGCAAGTTGTATCAATTTCTTCTTTGGGTGGGCAAAGGAATGAATGTTTCTGCATTGACTTGTGGGCGACAAAATGTTGGTATGAAATACTAAGCTAGGAAGTGCTTAGATGTGGACAAGATATATTGGATACGACCACATAAAAGCTATTTTATCATCTATCTTTGCAATTAGATTAATTTTATGTATCTCCTTAATTGAATTGTATATTTACAATGTTTCATATGTTAACACCCACATCCATTGCACTGCAGGTTCTCCAGCAGTAATGTGCACCAACCAGCTCAGCAGGAGCATTCCCACTACTCTGCACATGACAGTCTATAGCAACATAGAATTACGCTTTTCCAACTTGTTTCCTTCGCTCTCTTATAAAAACCTTTGGTTATTGTACAGCTGATATAATAATTGAATAAAATTGTCCCTCTTTAATGTTCTCCTTTCTTTCTAAAGTTTTATGCAGGTATTCCATTATGATATCAGAGCCTTGACGCTTAGCACATAAATGGCCAAACATGACTCAACCTCACCTAACTCCTCTCTCCCTGCATCAATGGCAGATTTCACGATCCCACCGTCCTTAAAGTTTATAATAACCAATCTCTAGCTTATAGTCAACACTCAGCTCACGCCAAAAAACTATAATATATGGCATCTTCAGATCTACAAACTTTTCTCAACAAGCGACTTAAAAGGTTACTTCAATTGTTAACTCGCTTGTCCACCTACTCTCGCCCCGAATGACCATTCATATGATCATCGTTTGTGGAAGCTCATTGATCAAAATATCATGGCAACATTACTTTCAGTGATCTCTCCCTCTATTCTACCTCACATCCTTCATTTCACAACATCTCATGAGATTTGGACAACTTTAAAACTAAGACTACAACCAACTAATAATTCCAGTGTCATACAGTTGAAGAACAAACTGCATCATGTTCAAATGAAGGATCAAAACATAAACCAATATCTCTCCCACATCAAATCCCTGGTTGACAAAATAGCAACTGCCAGCTCGATAATTGATACAGAGGATATCATCCTCTACATTCTCAATGGTACACCAGCCACCTACAACCCAGCCGTTCAAAACAGCCATTCCCACTTCTCTCCTACCTATCAGTCTTGAGGTACTTTACTTACTACTCTATAGTGAAGAAATAAATATTCAAAATGAGCTTTAGAAGCAAACATCTCCCATTCCGGACAACTAGGCCTATACACAACTCGTGGATCCCCCTCTAGCGGTCGCCAAAATCAGTTCAACTCAACCAGATCAAACTGTGGCATAGAAGCTTCCTTCAATCCATCTTCCAAAACACAGACGTCCACCATCTGCACAAGTTAGCAACAATCCGCAACCTATATGCCAGATCTGTGGGAAAACTTGTCAAACAGCTCTCGCATGTTGGCACATGTGTAATCTACAATATGCACCTGTTCTCGCTCCCAACCAACGAGCTCTCTTATCTGAAACCCAACAAGACCCTACCACATAATGGATCTTAGATTCTAGATCTTTGAATCATCTCACCTCTAACTCCACAAATTTGTATCAATTTGTACTATATAACGGTCCAGACTCCATCTCCATTGCAAATGGAACCTCCATTAACATCCAACATAGTCGACAAGGTCTCCTACCCATTCCCAACTCTGCTCATAAGCTTCGCCTACACAACCTTCTTCATATCCCATCTCTTTTCTATAATCTATTATCTATATCTAAACTCACATATGATAATAATTGTTTCATTTATTTTGATGTTAATGGGTTCGTGATTAAGGATCGTCTGGACAATCAAACATTAATCTATGGTTGCTGCCGTGAAGGCATCTATCCCCACAAAGACATTCAAATCTAGGCTCTTCACACCACAAAAACTTCACTTCAACCATGGCATTCTCGGTTAGGTCCTCCACATCATTAACTGGTGACCATTCTATCCGAATGATTTCCCTTTCTGCATATTAATTCTTCTACTGCTTCATGTAACTCATGTAAACTGGCTAAGAGCCACAAGTTACCCATTCCCAAACATACCTCCAATGTAACTCAACCTTTTGGTTTAATATATTCTGATGTTTGGGATCCTTCACCCATTGCCTCTTTACATGGTTATATATACTATATTGTTTTTATTGATGATAACACTCGCTTATGTTGGATATATTCAATGCATTCCAAATATGAAGCTATCTTCAAGTTTCAGCAATTTGCTAAAATAATTCAAACAAACTTCAATAAAAATATCAAAATCTTCAAATTTGATGATGGTGGGGAATACACTAGTGCAGTCTTTCAACAATTTCTCCAAACCAATGGAATCCATGAATTGAGCTGTCCCTACACTCTCGAACATAATGGCTTATCTGAAACGAAAAATCAAAACCTCAAAGACACCACTCGCACACTCCTGTACAAAGTTCAACTTCCACCACAATTTTGAGCTGAAGCAGTCCAAACATCCAACTATCTCATTAATAAACTTCCCACCTCAGCATTATAGTTTCAATACCCTATCAAGTTCTTCATGAGAAACCACCCACCTGCCATCTCCTCAAATCCTTCGAGTGCCTTTGCTTCCCCTTGCTACAACCACAAGTTCCTCAAAAACTCGCTCCCAGATCACATCCCTGCATCTTCCCACCTCAGCATTACAGTTTCAAATACCCTTTCATCCCACTAAATTATTTCAAAATTCATCTAACTAAATAATTGAATGAACAAATTTCACTAATTTTAAAAAATATTTCAAACCTTAAGCAAAAAAACGAGCCCAACTTTGTTAGAATCTCAGTCCTAAACTATAAAAAGGGTATTTTCATTGTTATGTTCCTTGTCGATCAAAGTGAGACTATTGAGAGAGAGAGAGAGAGAGAGTCAACATGTACAAGTAGAGAGACCGAGCGCAGAGGAATGAAAAATTATTTATGCGGAGTGCGCACCGTACGCACTAGCACTGGGTACCCAACGGTACGCACTGGGTACCCAGTGCGGGTACCGCTAGGTATGCAATGCTTGTACGAACAGTTCTTCCCGTCTGCACTCCGCACTTAATAATCTCTCCAGAGAAAGGCGAGAAGAGAGAGACAGAGAGCTAGCACTGTACCCTTTCATTTACCCAACGAAGTTTGATTCTTTCGTCTCATGCAATCATCACCAATAAATCAACATTTAGTAAACAACAGATTTCATTGAATTACAGATGATCACAAGTCCAGTGGAAGAATCATAGATGACCAAGATACAACCTATCAAACAAAAAAATCCTGGATATAACACATAAATCGACCAGCGATCAAGAACTGAAACATCTGAACGCAAGGCATCTTCATATCATAAACTTTACGTAAAATAGCAATGTATCACATAAAACTCAAACCACAAAACGTTTTCCAACAGTTTACAATTTATATTGCCATGTAAAGATCCACAAGCCCCATCGACAAGCTTTATTGATTTATTATTATTATCTTTACTTTAAAGTAACTTTACCATAGTCATATAACTAATTAAACAGCTACTAGACCACCTATACAAATGTCCTTCAACATTTACATAGCAAAGCATTACTACTGCTTTCTCAGTTGTTTTTCCCATCATCAAAATGTCTAGCATATATATATATATATTATATCATATAAAAGCCTCACTCTTTAACTTTCCCATTCAATCACCTCCTCTCAAGCATTATTCTCTGCAAATACATCAAGAAGGGCCAGTGCCTGCATGGAGAGAGTTGTATATGTTAGATCATTTTAATGTTTCATGGTTCTCAATCTGCTTCATAAAGGCATCAATCAAAATTATACCTCAGGGACGCTAAGCTCAAGTCTGAACTTGGGTCCATCATAGTGGTGTAGAATGGGCCTGAAAGAATCCTCCTCCAAAGGTTCAAAGTTTTTCCTGGTTATGACTCTAACCTGTAATAATTAATAAAGCAAAAATCACAGAAAAATGTTTAGAGAAAAATAATGTCCAACATTTCAAAATAATTTCAAATAAATAAACTAAAAATATGTATCCCAGATCAGAGCTAAATGAGATGAACATTAACAGAACTACTAAATCACTCGCCACAATGGTATATCTTAAAAAAAAAAAAAAAACCATTTAGTATTAACTTATAGTTTTTGTTTCTGGTTTTCTTAAAAAAAAGACCCGTACTTTCCATTAACAAGTTAATCTTTAACCACAACTGAGAATTGCTGCCTGAAACAACAAAGATTAATTGTGTTTTCTGTAATAATGTTATCAGCGTCATGATAAGCCATATCAAACTAGTTTTTGTTTCTGTTTTTCTTAAAAAAAAGACCCGTACGTACTTTCCATTAACAAGTTAATCTTTAACCACAACTGAGAATTGCTGCCTGAAACAACAAAGATTAATTGTGTTTTCTGTAATAATGTTATCAGCGTCATGATAAGCCATATCAAACAGTTTGGTGTCAAGTTTATGAATCATTCTATCTACCTTGCAATTGTTAACTCGTAATCATTTGCAGCTAATGTAAAAAAATTAATTAGATACCGTAGCATGTAAATCTTTTTGCTAGTTGTGCTAATAGTATAAGTCAATATACTGTACCTGAGCAGGATAACGAGATTCTCCAGGATGTTTTTTATCCTCCCAAGCAGAAGGATCGATGTTTGTTCCTCCAAAACTAGCAGCCTATTGAATCAGATTAGCACATCAGCATCAACATATATAACAATTAAACGATGAAAAACATTATAAAAAGAAATATATAGAAGAATTTTAAGCGCAATACCTCAAAAATTCCATGAAGTTGATGTGTTGAGTAGTTGTATAAGAAAATAGGCAACCCTGGGGTTATTACTCGGACCGAGTCCCTGTATCGTGGAGGAAGGCCTGAAAGATAAAATTTAATATATTGATCAATATTATACAAAGTATCAGCATTAATAAGCTATTTTGCATAAATCATTTCATAAATCATAAGAATCATCTAACTGACAAGATTATAAAGAAATTATTATGCTCTAAGAAAATTTAAATAAACTAAACAATTTGTAGATGAAACTCCCTTGATTTGGAAGTAACAAACATGAGCAAACTAACTGTTCACTGGATTAAATAGAACTACGATTTTTTTTTTTATTTTAATGATTTGAGTTTTAAGCTCTTGTTCAGGAGCAAAGGTAAATTTCAGTCGATCACATAACATGTGATAAATAGATCCACTTGATCAAACCTCTTAGGGAAGCAAAACTTAATTTTTTATTTTTTTTATTTCAGAACAGGCTGATTCAACTTCATAGGTGAAAGATAATTGCAGATTAGTTACTTAAATAGCAATTACCAGCAGCCAAAAAGGAACAAAATCTCCCTATGGAACCCTTACTTATGTAATAAAATAAAATAGTGAAATGCTAAGAAAGTTTCCTGAGAAGCTATAAGCAAGGGAAGCCATCGAAATCACAAAGATCAGCAACCTACTAGTAATCCAGTTACAAAACTTAAAGAAAATCTAAAGAAAATAATGAATAGTTGCAAAAACTCACCAAAAAGTTGCCTTATAAGATTCTCCTCCATGGTCTCGTTGTTGCAGACAAAGATGTAGCCTCCGACAGTTTGGCTCCGAGGAAGAGCCTCTGAAGGCGGCAAAGTCTTGAACCTCTTATCCACAGAATTCCCGCTATTATTGTTACTATCTTTGTTACTATTATTGCTGTACTTCTTATTCTTCCCACCTTTACCACTACTCTCGTTATTTCCAACTCCCTTATAGGTGCCTCCATGAATACCACTGCTATTATTGTTATTAACCGCAGGCCTAGCAATCGCCTTGCTGAAATAATTCTTCATCCCACTGTTAAAATTATTAACACCGCTGTTGTTGCAAAAATCCTTGGAGTTCTTCACACTGCCACCACCAAGGTTATTGTTGTTGTTGTTGTTGTTGTAACGATTCAGGTTACTGTTTGTAAAAGCAAGCTTTTGGGGGAGCTCAAGCCCCGTCTTCCACAAACCAGAGGACCCGATCTCCATCGCCGCCGACTCAACGGCGGATTCGTTGTTCCGGCGATCCTCTGGGCGGCGTCCGGAAGCGGAGAGGAAGGGATCCGACCATATGCTGTCGCCGAGAGAAAGGCTCCCGATCCCCGCCGTGTGGAGCCGAAGCTGATCGCTGAAATTCCAGAACGCAGACTCCGATCTTCCGTTCTCCATATTTCTCGCAAGATCTGATGAATACGGGTAAAGAGATGCGCTGACCAAGTTGGAGCAGCAGAGGTGCAGCGCAGATCGATCTATATAGTCAAACAATTGGGGGGACGATGAATCGTGGAAAGAGCTGTTCATTTACGCGTTTTTGGAATGGTAAATTTGCAAAATAGTAAAGTTTTGGATGCAAAAAAGTAATTCATTCGGATCATGCAGCGAAATTTTAGCTGACACAGAAATCTCACCCATTTAGAACAGCCCATCTGTCACTTCAGGCGGGTCCCGCAGTCGAATAGTGGGTGGTGAGTAGCTCGTTGTTGGGATTGAATGAATTTATAAAGATTTTGTTTTGGACGAGACTGAGTAGCAGGTTAGAATCGCTTTCTCTAGCAGGTTACTTCGGGGCGAAGGAAGAGGAGACGCGGGGCTCCGGCTTCCATCCACGTGTACGAGTGGATAGGAAAATGCTACAATGCGCCATTTGAGCTGTTGCAATAGTCGGTATGCGCAACGTTTGTGTCGTGATGGTGCTGGTGATGAGTAACGCCAATCTTTTGCATTGTTGTTGAATGAGATAGCTTGGCAGTGTTTAAATTTTTTAATTTTATGCACTCCATCAGTATATGATTATTTATTTTTGATACATCACAAAAAAACTGGTTTGATCGGTCAAGAATCTCGAGGCATATTCTAGTTAAAATTTTTTGAAATTAAATTTAGGATCATCTAACTTTTGGTTTCGATAAATTTATAGTCAAATTGAATATCTCAAGGAGACGAACCCAACGACATCAAAATTTGTCCCATCTGACCCCAAATGAGATCAAACAGAGGGACCGAAATATATTTGGAATGTTCAAATCATTAGATGAAAGACCAAATTATGTCTAAATATGGCATGCTCATTGTCAAATCTAGTGGCTCAACAAAATTAATCTAACTAGTCCAGGATCTCTCAATTCTAACATCATTAAGACACTTAAATGACTGAAAAATACTCTATGATTTGGGGAATCTAAATGGACTGTCTGATGGAGCACTCCAAACCATCCCTGTATCTTCTCCATATTTACGGGGTGTGCATTTTAGAAAAAAACCACCGTCGACGAGTAACTATTGACAATTGCCATAACACTGCTAGACAGCTAACGGCTGTCGGACCATTGCCCGGCCATAAATCGCCTCCAAACTTTCATCGAGCCACCGACATACTTCGGCCCGACCATCGTTAGACCACCGCCAGACTTTTTCCCAACCATCATCTGACCATCGTTGGTCATCGATCACCGCCCGTCGCCGAACTTTGAGCTAGTCTCCCACCACAGCTAGACTTCGACCTGGCTATCGTCAGACCTTCGTTAGGCCGCCGACAACTGCCAGACTTCCACCCGATCATCTTTGGACCACAACCTAGCCATCGACCACTACCAGACTTCTACCCGGCCATCGTCTAACCACCGTCCAGCTATTGACATCCATCAAAATTCCAACCGGCCGCCGACCACCACCAAACTTTTACCCAGCCATTGTGGGTTCATTATTCGACCGTCGACTTCCACAAGATTTCCACTGAGTCGCTGACCTCCACTAAAAAAATTTCCAATAATGGTCGGACCATGGCACAAACATTGATTATCATTGAATAACCACCTTTCATCTAGACGTTTACCCGACCATCGTTGGTGTTCGGCCCAATTCTCCAAACTTTTGTGATTCCACTTACTCTAAGTTAAAGGATGGGTAAACCTCTATAACTTATTCAAATTTAGTTGAATCTTTTCACCTTGGTGTGGCCCCATGGTTTTTTGTGAATGCCAGATTTCTTGTTTTTCCTTCCAGGATTGTCCAGGACGAAGTGGGATCGTCTTGGGACGATCAGTACAGGATCTATGAACTGGGAGGTTCGTCCAAGGACGAAATTTGGTTCGTCCGTACGAAGGTTGTCCAGAGAGCAAGTCGTCTAGGAACAAATACACTTCGTCTGAATGAAGCTTGTCAAGAGGGAAAATCGTCCCGTACGATCTGCATGTGTATATATTGGATTGAGATATTTTTGAAGAGAGAGAAAAGCCTGGGAGAGAGAAAAACAAAGTAAAAGGAGAAAAAGTTGATTTTGGGCGACTTCGGTCCGTTTTCGTCTGTCGCCGAAGTTGGAAAAGTTGACCGATTCGAGGTAAGGCACATTCCACCTACCATATTTTGGTTAACAAAAATGAAATTCGAAACATAAAAGTTGTCAAAATCCTCATTTCTCCTTTTACTTCGTTAACCAAAATCTGGTATTATTTCGTACTGGTGAATATTTTATCTTGTAAATTTTGGTATATTTCTGGGACGATATTTTTGCACGTTTTGAGTATTTTTTGAAAGATTTTAACTAGGTATTTTGAATTCTGTGGTGTTTTTATTGAATAGCGAATTATCTGGATGTTGAAAAATATTTCATCAGTACAATGAAAGTCTTGAAATGATATTTTCTATTATCTATGGTAATTTAGTAAATTTCTGAAATTATGAATTCTGTGGAATTTCAGTATACTGCAGTTATGCCGCTGACGATTTTTCTGACGAAATTTGATTTCTGAATTTGAATGTTTTGATATGCTTTGATATCATAAGGAAGTTATAAGGGCCCGGAATCCTTTGTGATTTCGTTGTCTGGATCCCGAAATCTGAAAATAAGTTATGTTCTAAAAATTATGTATATCTAACAAATTCTGGTGCTGTAAGCACAAGGGAGGCATAAGGGGCTAGAATCCATTGAGATTGTGTCAGGGTTCGGGAATCTGATATGTGTTATCTGATATGTGAAATGTGATTTTATCTGATTTGTACAATTCTGTCTGTTCTGTACGATTATGTTTGTTCTGTACTGAATATTCTGTTATATGAAATGAATTCCGTTTGTGATTTGATTTCTATTTGATCAAGTATCTGTATTTTGTTTGCTTATACGATTTCTACATGATTATATGAATTTTGTATGACAACTCTTCTGATGTATTTTTTGATGTGTGTTTCTGAAGATTTTGATTAGCTAGTGTAGTCTTGCTGAGCTGTTAGCTCATCATTGTTATCTGCGTGGTTTTTAGATTCTGGAAAAGAGAAGGAAGTCTTGGACTACCCGTTCAGTATCTGATCAGTGATTAGGTATTTTATACTTTTGATTTTTGTACAGCCATGGCTTTTCTATTCTGTTCTTTTTGTGTGTAGCCATGCACTGTATTGTACATGATTATCTGATGAAAGAATAAAATATAGATGAACTGTTATGTATATTTGATGTTTATAGTAGCTCAATGTTTTCTGTAAGTTTGATATTTGGAAGAAAGTTTGAAGCAAATTCCAAAGCTAGATCCTGGATATTTTCAATTATGTCGCGGTCCGATGCGAAGGGATTCGTTCCGGTCGGGTTGGGTCATAATAATTTTCCCTCTTATGGTTTCTAAATACATATTTGTGTGTTGGATATCCATGCATTATTATGGTAAAAAATCACTCTTTATAACGCCAACAATATTATATCCCATAACAGTTTTGTGATGTTTGTGGGAACCAATCTCACCCTTGTAAGCTCAACAAAAGCCTTTATTCAATGGCCAACTAGTATATCAATCACAACAATAGAGCCTCTCACTCTAAGTCACACCAATTTAACAATCAATCTATGAATTAGGGACACCTATTTCTTTCTTTCCTGGTGGAAGAAATACTTTTGGGGAAGGAATATCAGGGCCATCCCTGGAAGTTTGAATTTGAAAAATAGAAGTCTCAAAATGAAGTCCTTTAATTTCTACGGAGTGATCACCAACTAACACTAGTGCCATAATATGGGACTCATCACCCTCAAGACCTACAACTCATTGGGGATGTTTGACCTGAACATTTTCTTGTAGAGATCCCTCTTCCACATTCTGGGGGTCACCCCCTATCACAATAATATATCAAATTCATTGTCATAGCTAGCTCTATACATCCCTCTTGTATAAGTCCACCAACCCATATTCCTCCATTCATCACTGAGGACTTAGCTTAACCTCATATTATTGAAATCTCACATAATGTCTTACATGATGAAATGCAATGATTTGTCTTAGAAGAGTTCCATTTTAGAGGTGAAAGGAAAACTTTTCATCATTGAGACTTTCAGGATCCTTCACCCCTGAATGAAGTCAATCATCAACATCCCATTCCTGTGTGCATCAAATTATCGAGCATAAACTCTTACGATGGGTTATCTGGCCCTTACAAGAATTTTGATCACTATAAAACTATTATGCATATTAAACAAGCTTCAAATACATTTCTCTACCAAGTATTCCTGATAACATCAAAGGACAAGCTCACACATGGTTTTAATCACTCTAGAACAGAACTACTCCCATATTCGCCAAGTTAGCAAATTGTTTATTGAATAATTTTTCATTAATCAAAGAATTATTAAGGACTCTTTCCACCTCTCTAGGATTAGTCAAAATGAAGAAGAATCACACAAGGAAAATTTCCAAAGGTTATATTTTAAGGCCCAAGAAATTCTAAGGGTGGATTATGAGTTGTTAAGAGGAGTTTTCCACATAGGGCTCCATCTAACTCACTTTTACTTAGCGCTCATATAGACTATAGTTCATCAAATTTCGACCTAATTTCATCATATAGTGGAACAGACCTTGCCATATAAGGTCATCAATGCTCATATAAAACAATTTGAACAAACTATAAGAAAGCACAAAAATTGCACCTAGAACTAATAATTCATTATCATAATAGAAGAGCCAAGGGAATAATAACATGGTCTCTCGACCTTCACAGTCAAGAAATGAGTCTCGACAAGAGGAGTATACACCACTCAACACATCATAGGCAATTGTCCTAATGGCTATCTGAGATAAAGAAAATATTATGTTGCAAAATCTCTTAAAGATAAACTCAAGAAATTAGAAACAATACTACCACTTCCATCATAGTCATGGTCACATAATTAAAGCACGTAAAAAGCACAAGGAGAAAATTGACATACTGATCTGGCAGTGCAACCTTAGTCGGTTCATGTAAAATCCACCAGGTCATAAAGACACTCCTCCCATCGGGATAACCTACAACAAATTAATTATAGAATAATCGTCAAATAGTTGGTGAAGCTAAAACCATTAGAGGGAGGGCCAATTGTTATCTAACAAAGTCTTGCTCACGGTAAGCAAAGAG